AGTCTACAAAATGTCCCACCTGACAGTGATTTCTCTTTCGTTTGCTATTCATTGATGCTAAATTTTCATTTTCATTAAAATTTATTATGAATGCGAATATCCACTGTTTTGAATATCCACTGTTTTGAATATCCACTGTTTAGGATAAAAAATACATACCAAACAGTGGATATTGAAAACAAAAGTTCCCAGAATGGGGGGGGGGGGATCTCCCAATTTTTTTTAAACAAAATTAGATATATCAGCACTGCATTGCTACAGAATTCTATATAATAGTTGCATAGTAGGAACAAAAGCTAACAATGCTTCCTTGTCATTTGCCATTACACAAGGTGGGTTACATAGATGGGTCTCAGAGAGGGGTCCCAGAGAGGGGTCCCAGAAAGGGGTCCCAGAAAGGGGTCCCAGAAAGGGGTCCCAGAAAGGGGTCCAAGAAAGGGGTCCAAGAAAGGGGTCCCAGAAAGGGGTCCCAGAAAGAGGTCCCAGAAAGAGGTCCCAGAAAGGGGTCCCAGAAAGGGGTCCCAGAAAGGGGTCCCAGAAAGGGGTCCCAGAAAGGGGTCCCAGAAAGGGGTCCCAGAAAGGGGTCCCAGAAAGGGGTCCTAGAGAGCGAGATCAAAGAGAAGGGAAGCATGATAGGGGTGAGCTAAAACAAAATCGCCCACAGTTGTGGGTTCAGAAAAGTGAAAGTAAAAAAATAATATCTTCCCTTATTTTAACAAGATCTTCAGGTATTTTTAGTAATTTAACGTTTAACTATTTTTTCTGGTCCCGGTAGTAAAATTATGTGGAAATCAGACGTAATGGGAGGAGGGTCCCAAAAAGAGGATCACAAAAAAGGCGTCCCGTATAATGGCTAGCCACAAATAAACACTAGATCCTATCTTGTGATTTTTTTTAATCCCACAGTTTACTAAAAATGTTTTTGTACCAAGTTTTCTCTCTCTCACTGACCATCGTCTGATACCTTATTTAAATATCTTCTTTTAGCAATAATGACCAAGAATTTTCTCCAAGCCATGCATCTCTTTCCTGCTTAATTTTCGTTCCGTCTCTATATGTCTGTGTCTGTGTCTGTCTGTCTCAATCTGATCCTGCCATTTGTATAGTTACTGGTACGACCTATAGCAGTCCAGCCTTATTCAATCCCTTCTTTCTTTGTTCTCCTTTTCCTCGTATTCTGTTTTGACCTTGTTTTGCTCCCCAGCCAGTTTTTATCCTTGCTAATCTTCATACCTCTATTCCTCTTTATTCCATTTTATTCCTGTTGTGATTTGTTCATGTCAACATCCAATGTTATTTATCAATGCATTGGCTGTTTGTTTATTCTGTGTTTTGGTATATACCTCAGTATAATCCCAACAGCGTTTAGTTTCCTGGCGGGCCTAGCTACACCAGCGTTTAACTACAGGTGTGTCTAACCCACTACCTAAACGCGTTCGTGTGTAACACGTCTGCATTTAAACCCTTTCGTGTTCCTAATTCCATTTACGTACAGCCCAGACCATGACGAACCGTGTCCTTATCTATCCCGAACATTTCTATCCTGTTGGCCGCTGTGCTCGCACGTGCCTCTTGAAGGCCGTGCCCGGCCATGACCGTGCCAAAGCCAGTTGTAATTCCTAGCTCCACTTTCTGCTTGCCCGACATTTCAATCTTTTAGACTGAGAGTCGCTTCTCCCAGCACCCGGTCATCATCATTTGGCATTCACAAGCCTCGCTCTTTTCATGCAAATTTCTGACAGACGCACCTCAGAGAATTCTCACCTGGGTGAAGCTGTGCTCTTTAACTTTCTATTTTATCTGATTCTCCTCCTCCCCCTCTTCTTTTTCTCCATTTTTATTTTGTTTAATGTCTAAATTAATTTTTACCTTCTTTCTTTAGCTCTTCCTTTACAATTTTTTCCGATTTTTCCTCCTCTTTTTTTTTGTTTATGATTTCTCTCTTGTCATCCTCCTCCTCTAACTTTACTCACCTCTACCACAATTATGATTTATTTTCCACCATCTCTTTCTTTTCCTGACTTTTGTCAAGTCATTCCACTGTCCGTCTGTCCTTATTCTTGTATTCTCGATTCAGATTCTTTTAATTTATTTTAGTTGTAAGTTTGTTGTGATAGTGTACGTCAAGGGTTTGACGCAATTGTTCTCATCCACTGATGTTCACAAACAGCTGGGCAAAAAACACATGTAGAACACGTGTAGAAATAGATGCTCTGAGGCGTATTTATTTTTGCCCACACGTCCTCTCACCCACACGTCTTCTCACCTACAGCACCGCTGGTGAAGATTCCTGGAGGACCCGACATGTACGTGAAGAGTGGAAGTACAGTCACCATTAAGTGTATCATATCTGCAGCCCTTCACCAGCCAGATTACATATTCTGGTACCAGGTCAGTCAATCTCTCACTCTCTTGGCTTGTGGGAAAGACTAAATGATCATCTAAGAACATTTATTGCAGAGAATATCAACGATTCAGTGATAAATCCACCACTGTAATCAGGATTCATTTTAGAACACGACATAATCACGTACAAATTATATCTAACATAATACACCAGCCAACACGAGAAGACTTTAGAAAAAATAAACTAGTAAGATAATGTACTATGTCCTTCATGAATTAGTTACTCCTGAAGATAAACTAAAACGCTGAGTATAAACACAAAGCTGAACTCATCAAAAAAAAGGATAACCTACAAGTATTCCACAGTAAAGAATTTAATTCAGAAACCTTTCCACTGAGTCCACCCAGGTTAAAGTTGTTTACGAGTTCATTTGTTGTGAGTTTTTACTGTAATATTAAGCTTATCTGGACATAGTGGATGATCGTGAGATTCGGAATGAAATTTGACAGCTGGTTTGAGATTTTAAGTTTCTCTTATGTTTGTTAACGTTGTAGTGTTATGCTTATTATTGTGTGTTCCAGAAATGAAAATTGACGTTAGTGATGGATTTTCACGGAATTATATATAATATATATATATATATATATATAATATATATATATATTATATATATATATAAATGTCGTGCCTAATAGGTAAAACTGACCAATTAGCAAGAGCTCATTTAAAATTAAGTCCCTTCTAAAAAATTTTCTTATACGTTTAAAGATATATATTTTATTTCATTTATGTTAATGTAAAAATTAATAATTTTGTACTAAAAGAACCTCAGAAAACTTACGTAACCTTATTATAACAAGGGCAATTTAATTTAGCCTAATCCAGCTAAATATATTTTAGACAAGTTTACAACAATTTAATAATAAACAAACACAATGAAATATTTTTTTTTCCTTTAGGTTCAGAATGATTTATGGGAAATTATTGCATACACAAATTTTCGCTTGCCTTATTCGTCAAGAAGAGCGTTGCTATTTAAGCCAAAATCGTAAGTTTTACCAATTCGGCAGGACACACACACACACACACACCGGGGCCAGGAGCTGAGTCTTGACCCCTGCAACCACAATTAGGCGAGTACACACACACACACACACCACACACACACACACACACACACACACGTTCCCATTGACTGTTATGGGTACAACATTTTCAAATCTTATATCTCCTAAAAGTGTTATGGACTTGTCATAAACTTGCCTTTTATTCTCTGCACTCCGCATCCCACATTGTAAACATTACCCGATTGCAAACCATCCCTCCTAGGCACACATGAAATCAGTCCTCTGGCAAGCTATACAATACACGCTCATGCGTTCAACCGCGCCTATGTCCCCACGCATGCGTGCACATAAGTGAGTACATTCACTCATGTTTCCTTACACACACACACACACACACACACACACACACACACACACACACGCATACGGTGCATACAAACGGCCAATGACAGTTTAGGAAACTGTAACAGGACTAACACTTGGTTATTCACGAACGAAACCTTGAGAGAATCCAAAGTTTACTTCCAGGATAGTTCCAGAACTGTATGAATATATAAAGGCTAAAGGAACTAAATCTTTACTTGAGGAGAACTACAAATATACCCATAATTTTTTAAGGGGTGGACCGCTAAGCCAGTGGAAGGTCTTGGTCATATGACCAAAACCTCTACCTGCGGATCATACGACAAAGATCCACGTCAAGAAACACTTGTGCCATTTCCTGACAAACCTTACCTAACCTAAAGACTACAAGAATCCTTTTCACGAAATGCTAAGAGGCATTGTCAGAGAGGATTGGAAGATTCTGAAACGAAAGGGACGGTACCACAGAGGCAAAGAAAAAAGCTGATAATCAGAATAAGTTACTGTGACTTTAGGAAATACTTCTTCAGCCTATGGATAATACAGAAGGAGAAAAATTTAGGTGGACGTGGCGGAAGACAACTCCATACGTAATTTTACTAACAGGTACGAAATTTCGAAGTTGGACCCAGCAAAGAACCAGCAATTTAAATGTCAAGCAATAGAGGCAGAAGCTGCAGTAATATCCTCACGACTCTAGCTGGGGGAGTACATCTAGTTGAGCCTATGCGCGCACACACACAAACACACACACACCGAACAGGCCAAGTATCTTTTAATAATAATATTTTTATTTTACTGATGGGTGATCGTAAACAACCGGTGCAAGGCGACACGTTCAATTTTTCCAACCCTACGCCGGGAATCGATCCCGGACTCTCACCGTGTGAAGCGAGAGCTTTTGCCACCAGGCCACTGGCACCGACCTTTGACAAAATGGAAACACACACACCAAACAGATCAAGTATCTGTTGACAAGTGCCTTTAACAACTGATAACAAACACACGTACTTTACACGTACATGCCACCTCTAACATCCAGCACAAACACGCCTCTTCGACACACACACACACACACACACACACACCCAATAACGCAGCACTTCCCAGTATTTTTGTAGTTCTCAGCACTGCGTCGTAATGTTGAGACTAATGCAACTGTCCCATATATATCGCCATAAATCCGCATAATGGGTCTGAAGTTCTATGTACTGTCGTATTTTATATATAAACAAGACAGTGAGGCAGTTTCACAATGTACCTGTTTCCTGTAGGAACGAGAACGCAATTTGAGGTTGAAATTATTGAGACCGTTGGTGTCAATGACTCCGTTACTGCGCCTCCACAGGCATTATTATGATCATTAACATTATTTAGAGTGCAGCAATAAATTTAGATGCAGTTTATGGCTCATAGACATAAGGAATACGAAGCACAAACGAGTCTTTTAATGGCTGTTAGTGCGCTTCTGTCAATTTAGATCTTGATATTTACACACAGTGTACGGGGGTATGAACACAGAGTCATGTATCTCCCAGGTTTTATAAACCACTAGTTCGGTTTATTGTCCGTTTTAGTGATTAATGTATTCTTGATGTTTGCAGATTATGGATCACCGGTGGCATTAATAACCCTCGTACAGTTGATAGGATTTGATAATCAATCTCTCTTTCGCATGCACGTACGAAAACACGCACCGGGATTATGCAAAGGAAAGAGAATAACAAAAGATGAAGGAAAGAAAACAGCAGGATCAACTATTCAATCCTCAGCATCTCAAACCCCTGCAACAATAACCAACTAATCCTACCCATAGCGCCTTCCACGTCAGCAAACTCCTCTCATCCTTCACCACTCCAGAATCTCTGCCTAACACTCACCCACCTCATTCCCTAACACGAATGGCACAGTTAATTGTTATTTACTCATCATCCTGCTAGAAATCCCGTAACAACTTACAAGGAGCCTCAAGGTCAGATGCAGGAAGGCAAATGAGATCAGCAAGAATGTAAACGAATTAAAAGAAAATGTGAATTAGAACAGTCGGACCCTAATAATCTCATTAAAACAACCGTAAGAATTATACTCAGGACATGATTAATAATTAGGAACAGGCTGCTGAGAGGCAGAGGAGAATGAACACTAACCATAAAGGAACAACGGAGTTTTAAAGAGCCAGAATCACCACATTAAACAGGGGTGTAAGTTTGATGTATTTTCTGATTGTCTCCAGCCACTTCCCAGTGGCTGGAGACCAAGAAGTCAACACGACAGCAGCAGCAACAATAAGGTCATTATAGAGGTTATAAACCAGCTATGATCTCTGAAAGTACATGGCCAAATTGAGAATAATGTGAGACATCAACCACCAAGAAACAGCCTGGGGGAAGGAAAATGTTACAGAACGTATTTTACCGATAAGTTTAAAAGCAGAAGAGAATGAGAGAAGACAATGTCGAACCAAACAGATAATTAGTGACACTCCTAACACTAAAGAAGTTGGTAGATATACAAGTGAAAAATTCGGTACCTGAGACTGGGACTCAAATCTCTTTAATCCGATTGCATCACGTAAATATACAAAATATGACACCAGATACGTAATTCCAATTTAAATTCGTTAAGCTAAACACATGAACAATCTTTGCTTCAAACAGCAAATCAAGATAGATTTTGCTGGGTATAAGAAATGGAAAATGTTAAATAAACAAATACAGTATTAAAAAAAGCAAATAGACAATATTAAAAAAACAAATAGGCAATGTTAAATAAATATTAGACAATATTTAATAAAAAAAATTTGAGACAGAGACCTATGTGGAACAGAAGCAGAAAACAGAGTAAAAAACGTAGACAATATACTAATGGGCCAAGTCAAATTCTTCTGCATTTTCTCAGGCAGAAATGTGTCAGTGAATTATCAGTGGATTTACTTTAAGAAGAATATATATCAACGGCAAAATATACCGACAAGTATGAGAAAACACAATATGCGTTTTGCTGCATTTTGTCGAGAAACGTTTCGTTCACCAAGAAGTCGCTGGTAGACGAAACGTTTTCTCAGTAAAATGTTATAAGCTGCATACTGCATCATATTTACAATACAAAGAATAGTAAAGCCGATTCGTAACATTTACACAGCACCAGCACCGTTTGGCTGGTCATTGCTTTTGTCAAGTGCGAACACTGATAGTAATTTAGTACCAACAGTACCACTTTTAGGTATGTTTACTGATCACGGAACGGGTGGGGTTTGAACCCGTGGCACGTGAGCCCTAAAACTCACAGGCCAGTGCGTTAACCCCTCAGCTAGCTGGTTATAATAAGACTCATCCAGCTAAGGTTGGCATGGGCCACCACTGTGACCACAAACGCATGTTTTTATAGACGAATCCCACACCTGAGTGACTGTGGCGCACTCTAGCTCAAGTCCCTTTATAATAGTGTTATTTCGATGTCCTGAGCATTTTTTTAATATAAGTATCAGTACCAATACGCTTCCCATAATGTCTATTATTGGTTTCATATATGGCCACCAGGGCTCTGAGCGTGTGGTTGCTGACGATGTCTCGGGCAGGGGACGGCAGGTGTTCCTGGACCGTGACGCTGACACTACCGTGGGTACGCTGCTCATACCCACAGCCTTGCCCAGAGACCAGGGCACCTACAGCTGCGCCCCATCCACACTCCCCAACGCTTCTGTCACTCTCCATGTTCTTAATGGTCAGTCATTCTCCATGTTGTTAATGGTCGGTCATTCTCAGTGTTCTGAATGGTCAGTCATTCTCCATGTTGTTAATGGTCGGTCATTCTCCATGTTCTTAATGGTCGGTCATTCTCAGTGTTCTGAATGGTCAGTCATTCTCATTGTTCTGAATGGTCAGTCATTCTCAGTGTTCTTAATGGTCAGTCATTCTCCATGTTGTTAATGGTCAGTCATTCTCATTGTTCTTAATGGTCAGTCATTCTCCATGTTGTTAATGGTCAGTCATTCTCCATGTTCTTAATGGTCAATCATTCTCCATGTTCTGAATGGTCATTCTCAGTGTTCTGAATGGTCAGTCATTCTCAATGTTCTGAATGGTCAATCATTCTCCATGTTCTGAATGGTCATTCTCAGTGTTCTTAATGGTCAATCATTCTCTATGTTCTTAATGGTCAGTCACACTATGTTCTTAATGGTCAGTCACTCTCCATGTTCTTAATGGTCAGTCACTCTCCATGTTCTTAATGGTCAGTCACTCTCCATGTTCTTAATGGTCAGTCACTCTCCATGTTCTTAATGGTCAGTCATTCTCCACGTTTTAATGGTCAAGTCACTCTCCATGTTCTTAATGGTCAGTCATCTCCATGTTCTTAATGGTCAGTCACTCTCCATGTTCTTAATGGTCAGTCATCTCCAGTGTTCTTAATGGCAGTCACTCCCATGTCTTAATGTCAGTCATTTCATGTTTTAATGGTCATATTCTCAATGTTATTAATGATTCACATTCTCAATGTTATTAGTAGTTAGTCATTCTCCATGTTCTTAATAGCTAATCACCCTGCATATTCTTAGCTCATATTTGCATCTGGCGCAGAGTGAGCACAAACGCCTGTTATTACTCTTGCTTACCTGACAATACATTAATTTTGAGTGTATACACTATATATTATATATATATATATATTATATATATATATATATATATATATATATTATATATATATATATATATATATATATATATTATTATATATATATATTATTGCGTGTGTGTGTGTGTGTGTGTGTGTGTGTGTGTGTGTGTGTGTGCGCTCGCGCGTGCGTGAGTACGCATGTGAGTGCACTCAGAAGCTTGTAATGAGTAATTCATGCTTCCCTCTCCCTCCTCCCACTAAGTTAAAACTGGGTGTACATGTTGTCTAGTTGTGAGTGGGGGACCATTTTTGTTTAAAACTCTCAGCATTTTTGTATTTCCTGTGAATTATTTCAGGTTTGTCTTGCATGACGATAGTTTTTATTTGCAGTTAAAATATGGAGCCACAGCGTTTAGAAAACAACACACACACACACACACACACACACACGCACACACACACACACCACACACACACACACACACACACACACACACACACACTGCTAATTTGGAATATAAAATTGTGTATATGAGTTAGTTACCATTTTGCTAAAGGCACTTGTCGATAAGACAATTAGGATATGTGTGTGCTCACCTTGTTATGGTTGCAGAGGTCGAGTCACAGCTCCTGGCCTCGCCTCTTCACTGGTCGCTCTTCCTGCTCCATGAGCTTTATCATACTTCTTCTTAAAACTATGTATGGATCCTGCCTCCACTACATTTGGTGTGTGTGTGTGTGGTGTGTGTGTGTGTGTGTGTGTTGTTGGTGTGGTATTTGCATTGCTGTGTCTACCTATTTCAGTTTGTGTTTACGTACGTCTGGGTCTGCCTGTGTGGTTTCGTATTTGTGTTTGTTTTGTCTACCTCTGTCTGCATGCGTGTCTTTCTCTGTGTTTGTATTTGTATGTTTTCCTGTGAGTGTATTCGTTTGTTTCTGTCTCAGAAGTCACTGACAGATACTCTCTCTTTAGAACGTTGAGTATTTTACCTCTGCTGCTGTCCTCAGCACCAGAGCTGAATATAAATGACTTCATTAGCGCTGAAGTCTGAGCTGAAGGTGGTGTCAGCTGCAAGGTGGTCTCAGCCGCAGGGTGGTCTTGGCTGCAGGGTGGTCTCGACCGCAGGGTGGTCTCGGCGCAGGTTGGTCTCCGGCGCAGGGTGGTCTCGGGCGCAGGGTGGTGTCAGCAACAGGATGGTATCAGCAACAGGATGGTATCAGCAACAGGATGGTGTCAGCCACAGGGTGGTGTCAGCCACAGGGTGGTGTCAGCCACAGGGTGGTGTCAGCCACAGGGTGAGAGGACGAATTATATGTAGCAAAGAATTGTCTGTCTTTTACACTACGCTTATACATCTCTCTATGTTATACAAGATAAAACACCAACAGCCTGGCTCATAAGAGAACACCGCGGGAAGCAGGCGGAGGATCGAGCCTCCACTCCTGGAGCTGAATATCACATTCGGTCTTTATATTTTATAAGTAATTCATTAATAGACTATTTTTTAAACCACATCAAGAATTATCATATAATTCCTAAAGTAATTCTTCAATTTAGGAGAAATATTTGTACTACATTTTATAAATGAATCTCAAAGATTTTAATTAATTTTGATTATAATTTTACAAACTGAATTTTTTTCTGATTATTTTCGCCATTTAAAGTGACGTTCACTAATTCAGGAATTAACATAGATTAAAGGATCAATATAACATTAATATGTCACTGTAATTTCGTAATTTCTTTTATTTAAGGGATGTTTATGGTTGAAAATTTTTGTTTTATATTTTTGCCATGATTACTCAAACATGAAATACTGGCTATACAGTATATATATATAATATATATATATAATATATATAATATATATATATATATATATATATAATATATATATATATATATATATATATATAATAATAGCTACAGTTAGAGTAAGAGGTAGATGGGGCAAGAGAAAAATAGCAACAAGTAAGACTGAGGTAAAAGTGTATAAACTAAGGGAGGAGGAAGTTCGGGTAAGATATAAGCAACTATTGGCAGGCTGGTGGGCTTGTGCAAGTATTGTAGTGGAGGGGGGGGGTGTTGAAGAGGGTTGGAATAGTTTTAAAAAATGCAGTATTAGAATGTGGGGCAGAAGTTTGTGGTTTGGGAGGGTGGGGGTCAGGAGGAAAGAGGTGTGATTGGTGGAATAATGAAGTAAAGGGTGTGATAAAAGAGAAAAAGGTAGCTTATGGAGTTTTTAAGAGAGTGTTATAAGAAGAGTAGAGTATATGGTGAGTTAAAGAAAGGTGAAGAGAGTGGTGAGAGAGTGCAAAAGGAGAGCAGATGATAGAGTAGGAGAGGCACTGGCAAGAAATTTTTAATGAAAATAAGAAAAAAAATTGGAGTTAAACAAGTTAAGAAAGCCTAGAGAACAAATGGATTTATCAGTTAAAAACAGAGTAAGGGAGTTAGTAGATGGGGAGAGTGGAGGTATTGGGTAGATGGTGAGAATATTTTGAGGAACTTTTTAATGTCGACGAAGAAAGAGAGGAGGTAATTTCATGCACTGGCCAGGGAGGTATATCCATCTTTTAGGAGTGAACAAGAACAGGATGTAAGTGTGGGGGAGGTGCGTGAGGCATTACGTAGAATGAAAGGGGATAAAGCAGCTGGAACTGATGGGATCATGACAGAAATGTTAAAAGCAGGGGGGATATAGTGTTGGAGTGGTTGGTATATTTGTTTAATAAATGTATGAAAGAGGGGAAGGTACCTAGGAATTGGCGGAGAGCATGTATAGTCCCTTTATATAAAGGGAAGGGGGACAAAAGAGACTGTAAAATTATAGAGGAATAAGTTTACTGAGTATACCAGGAAAAGTGTACGGTAGGGTTATTATTGCAAGAATTAGAGGTAAGAGGATTGCGGATGAGTAAGGAGGTTTTAGAGTGGGTAGGGGATGTGTAGATCAAGTGTTTACACTGAAGCATATATGTGAACAGTATTTAGATAAAGGGAGGAAAGTTTTTATTGCGTTTGTGGATTTAGATAAGGCATATGATAGAGTGGGTAGGGAAGCAATGTGGCAGATGTTGCAAGTATTTGGAATAGGTGGTAAGTTACTAAATGCTGTAAAGAGTTTTTATGAGGATGGTGAGGCTCAGGTTAGGGTGTGTAGAGGAGAGGGAGACTACTTCCCGGTAAAAGTAGGTCTTAGATAGGGATGTGTAATGTCACCATGGTTGTTTAATATATTTATAGATGGGGTTGTTAAAGAAGTAAATGCTAGGGAGAGGGGTGAGATTAAATTAAGGGGAATCAAATACAAAATGGGAATTGACACAGTTACTTTTTGCTGATGATACTGTGCTTATGGGAGATTCTAAAGAAAAATTGCAAAGGTTAGTGGACGAGTTTGGGAGTGTGTGTAAAGGTAGAAAGTTGAAAGTGAACATAGAAAAGAGTAAGGTGATGAGGGTATCAAGTGATTTAAAGAAAAATTGGATATCAAATTGGGGAGGAGTATGGAAGAAGTGAATGTTTTCAGATATTTGGGAGCTGACGTGTCAGCGGATGGATTTATGAAGGATGAGGTTAATCATAGAATTGATGAAGGAAAAAAGGCGAGTGGTGCTTTGAGGTATATGTGGAGACAAAAAACGTTTTCTATGGAGGCAAAGAAAGGAATGTATGAAAGTATAGTGGTACCAACACTCTTATATGGGTGTGAAGCTTGGGTTGTAAATGCTGCAGCGAGGAGGCGGTTATAGGCAGTGGAGATGTCCTGTCTAAGGACAATGTGTGGTGTAAATATTATGCAGAAAATTCGAAGTGTGGAAATTGGTAGAAGGTGTGGAGTTAATAAAAGTATTAGTCAGAGGTCTGAAGAAGGGTTGTTGAGGAGATTTGATCATTTAGAGAGAATGGATCAAAGTAGAATGACATGGAGAGCGTATAAATCTGTAGGGGAAGGAAGGAGGGGCAGGGGTCGTCCTCGAAAAGGCTGGAGGGGGTAAAAGAGGCTTTGTTGGCGAAGGACTTGGACTTCCAGCAAGCGTGCTTGAGCGTGTTACATAGGAGTGAATGGAAACGAATGGTATTTGGGACCTGACGAGCT